CATTTTCTACTCCGCTGAACGTTGCTTTCGCGTTTAACGTTAATAATGAATGTTTGATTTTAATTATATTGTTGTGTATATATAAGGTGACAGTCAGAAACGGAGAGCGGCACAGGTAACAGAAGTGATACGTTTTGTAGAAACAGGTTTTAAAGCGAAAACGATATTTTCCCGCGAAATTCGATTTGTCTGTTGAATCTATTTCGAGTTTGAGCCTGTGGCGTATAGGTGGACAACGATCGCTGGTCAATTATTTAAATAATCATTCACCGAAGACGGCTCGTTTTACGCATCGAATTGCGATGCCATTGAAGGACAGCAGAAGCGCTCACTGCGCGGATCATCATTAGGGAATGCGGCGTCGATTACTGTTACCAGCTGTTTGCAAAGTACGCAACTGACCTCTGTCTACCTGTGTCTTTTCCACTGTACACTGTGCGAAGTCGTAAGGAAATAGTTGCGTCAAGGTCAGAAATTGCTTGGTGGATTCTGCTTTTAGGTTGTTCAAGCTGTTCTACTAAATAATGATATCGGTATACCAGGAGAGCCCAATGTGGTTCGTGTGTTTGTAACCAGTTTTTGCCTTGAGCCTTGCCAGACAAGCTGGGCTTTGGGTTTAAGTAACCTAGCGCCCTTGACGACAAGTGTCTGAGAGGACGATTTAAATACTGGTAGGTATTATCAATATTTCGAGCTTTTAGACCGGTTCTGCCGTTGGGCATTACTTCAAACGGCCCCTTGTTTGATTACAACCGGTTTCGAAGCCAGACCCCTGTTCGTGTATCCTCAACTTCGGTAAACATACACTTAAACAGTTTCCCTTGGAAATAGTAGATTCAGCCATACGAAATAAACATAACTCATGACATTTTCTAGCCCGTTTAAACAATCGTCTCATTGATAGAATATACAAGTAGTAATTGCAACAGTCATTGTGCCACGCCTATGATAATTGGCGACAAAAAATGTACTCGAACGCATCCTATCTTTCGCTGTGATTTCCACATTTGTTGGCCAATTTTCACCTTGCTCAGAACACAAAATGTGTTTCAATGGAGCTCGATGAAGGACTAAGCCTATTTCTTGGATTTTTTTCTGAAACGTTCTCTGACAGAAATTTCTTTTTCAATCCTCAGGGTAATTTAAAGATTGATGTTTTCTTTAGCTTAAAAAAAGCAATCGTTAAGGCTAGTTTGACAAAAACTCATTTTAACAAATTATTTATTCTACATGCGTATGTAGAGTTTAAAATAATACGCTAATAGCTTATTCTATCTTGTAAGTCCAATCCTTACCACATGTTAAGGACGACTGCCGGCTTTAGTGATCTACCTAGTCAAATCGTTCACTGAAACATTATTCACACGTATAAAACGCATACCACAGATGTCGTGGGGCCATGCTGTTATCAGTTTGCGCCATATTTGTAGTCAGTTTTTTTCTACCTATCAGCTGCTCCACCGTAAAATTGTTTCACATGTTTCGATAACGAGTGGATTCGAATGGCTGAAAAGGTCGCGGCTCCTTGTTAGAGGGGGTGGTCAAAGGGGGTTAGACCGCGATAGATATGTACACGCTCGAAGATTTTTTGCTTTATGGTTTTTTTTTTTTCTATAGATGAGGTAAATTTCCCTGTTGTAGCACGAATCATAAGCCGAAATTTTTAAAATAAATTATATCTCAACCAAAACAATAATAGGTAATATGTAGTTCTCGCGACGAGGGTTCTACGCTAGTCCAGCGAACCCGTTTTGCTTGTGACATTCAATACAAGGCTATATCAGTGGAGCTGTACGGACAGTAACTGATGACGCTAAGGCTTAAACATAGCCGATTCGCATTCAAGTTAAGTCAATTAAATGCTTATTTTTTTTCAAAGTTAAATTCAAAATTACAAACGAATGCAGATCCTTTGAGATTAAAAAAAAAGGTTCAATTTACATTGCTGATATATGAATATAGTACGGCTTGCTTTTACTGCACTCCCTATCCAGTAAAATATGCAAAATTGCTTGTGACCCGATCAGTAGAAAACAGCTCGATATTAATTGCGAAAATCGACACCTATCTAGATCCAGTGATGAGATACCTTATCTATACAAACTTAAATCCAAACGAACGATGTTACATTAAAAGAAAACCATGTTGTCTTTTGTGTACTGCTTCGATTTGATATATGTGTTTACGTTTAGTGAACTGATACAAAACCCTGTAGGAGTTATGTCGTGCCGAAAATTGTCAAAGACAAAGTTTGCTTTCGTAGACGATACTAAAGAGTCGCACCCTTCGTGTTGCTGTGAAATAGTAAGGTATACGCGATACCTCCGCGAGATATCTGCATCGATCTTTTTGCGAGAGATTTCAGATTACTTTATGGCTTCGATTAGAATGATTGCCTAATATCACAGTATTCTACACGAACGACCCAATCTACCCAGGTTCTTCAGGTCTTCCTGATAAAGACATTACTCTTATTTATCTAGGATAAGATAGCCGATTACCAGCGGATAATGTATCTGTTATTTTTTTTATATCATTTGAAAAGACCGCGTTTAAGTCGATGTCTACTTTAAAGAATCATTATAAACTAGTGGCTGTTCTGCATGCCTTTGCCCCAGTGTCTTCACAATTGCCATAAAGCTTTTGTTGCAAATCGCTTTTGCATGATTCCATAATTCCGCGCCTTACTACATCACGATTTGTTGATTATACCCGCATCAATGTATGAAGCATTCTGCTATATGTAGAATACATTCTACATGATCATACCGACACTTCGCATCAGTTTTAGAACTGATTCAGGAAGCTGTCGTGTGACCTTTTCGATGTAAGCTAAAGAAACTGGTTTGTTCTTTGGAACAACTATAATTCATATATCATATTATGTTTTTCTCCTAGATGTAGAACAGGAAATTTTCTCATTTGAAATATAGGGCGGAAAGGTCAGTTGCTTAATTTAAATTTCACATGATTACCTATTATTTATCGATACTTCTCACAGTGTCACTTTAACATGCGTATTATGTATAGTGGTATACGCTCTCTTTGGTGCGAATAGAGGATTAGCGGTATTTAGTTTCATGTTATTTTGCAACTCGAGAACGCAGTCGGGATGTACGGCTTCAGCTGATAATTAATATATTGTAAAGGTCAGCTGGTTCGGTACACTGTCGACATTTACCCGACGACAGCCATAACTCTGCCATGTGCGTAATGCTGAGGTGCTGAAATTCACAGCAGGCGTGAATGCCCATAAATCTCGGCCTTTGTAATAGGGATCGTTGTAATCTGGTGCATTCAATGTGAACACGCAGTTCGGTTTCAACCAGTTCTAATTGTACAGTTTCAAATATTAGATCATGTTATCCTGCTTCTATTATTATTGCAGATTTATTAGTAAATATACCTAGGAATTTTCTTCTACGTTCTTTTTTACGTGTATGAAGTTCGGGCAATCTAAGAACAGTACCTTTTGAACCTATTTTTTGCAATTTAATTAAGTTGGATATAAACAGCTCGATTATAAGTAAATATTTCCATTTATTTAACTATATACGTTTTTGAATCTCTTTCACCTTAGCATCGGCCTGCCACACTGCCATCGTACTATGCCCAAAAGTTATCTAAAACCTTTTTTCATTATTATAATTATTCTTTATAGTTATAGTCTGTTTGTCATTTGTGAATCGCTGGACAATTATCCATCATCACTAACTCATCACACTTTACTATTACATATACGAGCTTCATAAAGGATTTCGCAATCACCTGGGTTACATGGAAAAAACGATTGCCTTCTTTATCACATCTCGTTAGGCTCTCATACGAAATGACGACATATAAACCCAAACGAGTCGCTCATATGCAGAGTTTTATTCAATTTCGCCTCATCTCCCACAAACGACAAGTAGGCTATTGATATTTCGGCTTCCCGTTTCGTAAATACGCCGTTCTTACAGTTCCGAAGCCGCACCTATAGAAATGAGAGGCAGGCACTTGCTTATTCCAAAACAAACAAGCACCTAATCTTGTCCGTAACCGGCAAAACCTGAATATGGATAATATGTGTGCGGGCCTATGCTTGTCTACTTGTAGGCAATCAAAGGGCGAGCGAGCAAGACGTCGAACCAAGTTATTCCTTAATGTATTTTTCATTATGTATTTCTCTTAAACCCTAATTTCATTACCTGAAGCACTCTTTTGAAAAGCATCGCTTTATTCTATAATAATGTGACTACAGCAGGGGAAGTTAAAGTGAACGCAGTTGACGCAACCACCGTAAAGCACCTCATTTAATGTCTGTAACTAACGATCAGCGGCATTGTATTTCACATACAAATATAAACTTGTTTTACATTGTTTCTACAAATCAGCAGAGAAAGTTGTCGCTTGAGGATTACGCAAAGGCCGACCTATGAATGTAATTTATCTTCTTACGTCACCTCAGCGCGAAAATTCTAGTAATTGATGCTATGTCTGTCGTTTTACTTCAGGTTAAGAATCTGACCATAACGTATGTTATAACTTATCAGTTCAAAATTGCTATGCAACATCCTATTACTAATACAACGGGTTCAGCTTTAATGCAGCATTAAAAAAGACAAGAAAATCTGAGAAAGTGATTCAAAATGTACCAGGAATATATAGCAGAATATTAATTACGTAATTTAAATTGATATAGAATCATCACTGATGCATTCTTTTAGCTTTAGCATCTTCCCTTCCGGAGTACAACCTGTTTGACCTGCAGACCTTGATATTCATGTATACGTATCTCTCTGACATCTCTGGCTGGGGCCTCATCGAAGCTAAGTGACCACCCTGCGTTACATTTCTATTTCGCTGAGGTATATTTTAATTTCAGAACGTTCTTCTTAGATAACCATCTACATGAAATTTCTCTTGAATTCGAGCTTATTCCTAATTCCATATGAGTAAGTAACAAATTCTCTGTTGTGGCACATCAGTTATCTTGGCTCCGATATAGATCAATACGAACTCTATGTAGATGTAGTCGGAAGTGAAAGAAACACATGGTTTCCTTGATTGCTTTCTTTGTTCAACACCTGCTGGGGCCATGTGTTGAAGATATCTGCTCGATCAATGTTGAATGCGCTGACAGGTGGTGAACTCAATGGACAGTGTGTCGATAAATCCACTGAAATGCCAGCCCTCTCACACGGATCACCTTCTAGCCAAGTGGCGTTCGACTGATCAAGCTCATGGTCAAGAGTATTCGAACCCGGGAAGGTCGGTGAGTAAGATCTTTCATCCAACGAAGCAAAGCTTGGCCTTGAATTGCCGCACGTTTCGCCTGTGCATTAAAATGCGAACTGTATTCTTGGTAAGGTAAGCTACTTTGAAGTTTGACACGGAGTTTTTAAAAGATAAAAAGTATAGCGGTGGAAATGCCAGCCCAGAAACAAAATAAAATGCGGAGTCCCATAATCGGCGTGCAATATTGATATCGATTCTAGCGGTTGGGCTTTATAGAAACAGTTAAGGTTGTTACTTATATTTTACCTTATATGTATCTAAATTGTCACTTAGCCAAATATTATTTATGTTTAAATAATTCATGATGGGAGCATTTAATTTTAAAGGGAAATTGTCGTCAATCATGTATTTGTTACCGTTGTCCTGTCGATTGGGACCGACGGTTTGTAGGTTACTTCCTATAGAGACATCACCCTCCACGATACGCGTGAGGGGTACAGATCTTGTTTGGAAATTCCACTGCGACTGGAAGGCCCCGCCTAGAATCATTGTCTCAGTGTTCATCAGGCTAAAAGGAGATGTCTCGATAGTCGAAGCTTCTTCGTCGGAAATATTATCCGGTGCGTCGAACTCCTTCCACCGGGTACCACCTGTTTTCAAATTCATGTTTTAACATATTTAGGTAATAAACAAGTATGACCAGTTTCTCAAACCCGTAGCTTTTCTTGTAGTTCACCCTTCACAATGTTCCTCCGCAGCCAGGCAAAACGTTTTCTTTCGATGCAAATGAAGCAAGAATTGCACGGTGGGCCTATTTGCACGGCAAGCCTATATTGCGAGGCAAATATTACAAAAAGTCCTTGAAAAGTTTTTGAATTAAGTCAAGATTGCAAGGTTGCGCATCAGATATGCTCTGGCGATGTTCACCCATAAATTGCCTATATATATTCCACTGATGAGGATGATACATAACGATAGATTTTTGTTACCTGGCTTCATTGAACGTTTGTACAAAGATCAAGTAAATGAGATCCAACAAATGATTCCAACTCAATAGAAAAAAATATTTATGAACTTGTACAGTGTAACAATAGACAACAAGTAAAATATAGTTCCAGATTATAGGTAAAACTTAAACAGACAAAGCTGCCCTTCTCTGTGCAACACAAAGAACGTTTTTAATATGTATTTTATAAGCTTTGCAAGTACTTTGGCACCAACCGTACGAAGTCGTAGAATGATCGAAATGTTAAATTCTAATGGAATGTATGAATGGAGAGTAGACGAAGAATGACTGCAAGCTACTGAATGGCAGGACTAGATTTACCTGTTGATTTGTCTGTGTAGATAAGTTTCCGAATCAGCTGCGAGTTTTTCGGATTTAACTGGGCCTCAAAGGGCAGATAATCGCCCAATCTGCTTTGCTCTTGTTGTCGAGAAATTATCTCCTGCAGACGGCGGTGAATCCAATGCTCCCGTCTAGCTCTGCCATCAGGTCTTCCACCGCCATGATACTGAATTCGATTCATCCTTAAAGCTTCAAAGTCTACCAGACTTTTGCTCAAATTTGTCGAAAACTAAAGCTATTACAAAACGATCTCTCTGAATCGTAACCCCAAACCGCAGCGTTGTCTTTTACTCGTGTACAACAGTATCTTCTATGAAAGGGTGTTAAACACTTAATGCAGCAACTTGAGCTTTCTTTGAGAGAACACGTCGGCATATTTGTCGTTACACAAAATTCGCTCGATATGAAGGCTAACGGGCCCATACATATCGATCTATTCGCGTTGTTACAAAATGGCACATAGGAAAAATACTTACTTTATATAATTTTACCATAAATTTATTCTAGTTGTAATAACGAATATCATGCACTCCAGCTAAAAAAGACCTTAGAGGCAAACAAGTCATACATTTTTCATTACAGTCTATTGCAAATGGAGCCTAATTGCATTTAAACTGAATCCCAACAGAGAAGAGACCATTCATCCGTACCTGCAGGACCCTACCAGTTAAACAATGCAAAAGATTTCGAAAAGATTACAAACGAATAACTTAGACAAGTTGAGATATTCGAAAAAGGACAAACGAGCTCGATTCGTTGAATAGCGTAGGAAACTGAAGGGCATTGTTGTTGTTGTGTTGTGAATGATTGGTTTTCAGTTGATTTTATCTCGCGTATATCGACAGAACTTAGATTTTTAATTTATTATTAATCATTTATTTTTCAAAAGGGTACCCGCGCGTTCTGTGTTACTGTAAGTACTTACTAGCACTTAGGCCATTTTCCAGCTAGGGTTATTGCTACGTGAATCGCTACGTGCCTTCGTACCTCACAAATCACTTCATCACGGAACACACGCATGGAATTTCCTATTCAACTCACAAATTGACTTCAGTTTGCCAAAAAACACACACACTGAAGGAAAGTATGTGATAACAAACACGTTGTAGGTAGAGTCGTCAGCGGAGATAGACTTCCGAACAAATCATGTCGTTACAGCCAAATTCGGTTGGGCGCCGAAGATTTTACATTGCCTCATTTTCTTTTCCGGTTCGCTGTTTTTCCATGACGGCCACTCCTAGAAGATGACCCTAATTAATTCTATTTTGTTGCCACTACCATTACAATAGCAGGGTCTAAGGCTTTCTTTAATGTTTAAAGCAAATCAGAATATACATGATTTACTTAGTTGTATGCAATATTTTTTTCTAAACAATAGTTTATCTGTAACGTTAATCAATCAGATTGTTGGAGAAATATGTACTCATAGGCATTTGGAAATTAATCCCATAAAATAAAAGCTCTTTCGTTAAGCAACTGATATTCTGAATTAGTGTATATATTTTTATTGATTTTTCATAAATTTAAATTCAAAATAGAAACAAAGGCGTATAATTACGTGGGAAGAGGAAACTGGAATTTAAAAAAATTAAGAAGTTCAATTGTGACCAAGTTAAAAACTAACAACATGAAGAGACTAGTTAACTATATCATGGATATAATTTTGTGAAAGCTTTTAGCTCGAGTAGGAGTCACAAAGGCAATACATATTACATACAGTTAAAACACCAAAATGACACAGAAATGCGTTTAATAGCACAACGGGCACAATTGTCGTTTATTACTCTCCGTTTCTTATTTACGAGGAGACTCATTACGGGTGTACTTAAATGACAGTCAAGAAAGCATGGGCGGCGGACGTTCAGGCTGATTCGGATATTTGGCGACCACGGTTTTTTTTGGTGAGTATCAGCTCCGAATGATCCTTTAGCAATATATGTAGTTTTTGTGACAGACACGGTCTACCAAGAAGCACACCTTCTGGAGGCGTGAGGCTTTTGGAGCGCGCAAAGGGGCTACGGAGAGGCGCTGGGTGGTTTCTCCGACATGGAAAAGTGGGTTCCAACAATATTATAGTACAGAAACAAATCGATCGAAATGGGCAAATTCGTAGACCGTAGCAGTAGGAAAACAAAACTAGAAGTCCTGTAGAAACAGGAACTGTGGCAAGGTAAGCGTCTGTTTTCTCTTCGACTCCTTTTCTTTCTATTTTTCCTTTTCTAAGATATGCTAAACTGATACGTGCAAGATCTTTCCCTTTTTCTCTTTACTCATAAACACAACATATCTGGAGGGAAACTGTGGAGTGGGCAACAAAATTAGGCTATTATGCGAAACCACGGCTTTAGCCTCTTTTTGATAAGTCTCGCACTGCCTGGCTGGCTTAAGCGAAGTGTACGTGAAGTATTTCGGTACTAGTGGCTTTCAAAAAAAAAAGCACGAAAAGCAACGTAGCTCATACATTGCTGAGTTATTTCAATGCCAGTGTTTATCCAGTCTCTCGTAATTCGGTCGCATGCCCAGGTTGCCCAGGTTTTCCACTGTAGACCTGTTGCAACCCTTTCAAAGTCTAACCATTGCAGCTTCTAATAAGAATGATTTTTAGAACTTGCGTTACCTTAGTAAGTAGTATCATGCTTGCTAGTGCCTCAGATACATCACGCACCAAGATCGATCGTCCAATCGGTGAAATTCCCTATATGATATAAATGCCAGAACTCTCATAAGATTACCACCCTATAAACCTTTCAATGCATAAAATCGCAACGATATACGAAGCAAAATTTTCTTCAACAAGCTTTCGCCAGCGTCCATAGCAGTTCCGATACCGTCCAATCTGTCAAACAGAGCGACAGCGATCTAATTGATGTGGTAAAGGATGTATCTCTATTTATACGAGTCCTTTGAAGCCGGGGCTCGTGTTTCTTTAAGCAGCTGTAACTGTGACTCAGTATCGCTTTTCCAGCATAAACTACTGATAACTACCGCCTTCAATGCCGAACGCAAGACCATAACACAAGCACTATCGAAACACGCCGTTTGCGTTACATTTGTTATTGGCTCATTACGTTCTTCAATTTAATTTTTTTTTTGCATTTTGATTGCGTCCATCCAGAGTATTTGCTTGGAGATACTACACACTCTTTACATATGCAGAACAGGCACGTTGGAATAAAGAACTGGTTGACTATCTATTGTAATAACAACTCAATCAGTTGCACACCAATTGGCAACAAGAACAACGAAATCCGTGACGCCTACTGTGGTTTTTCGATGAAGCGTGGATTTCCTGCGTTTCTACCTCCTATTTACGATAGACTCCTGCAGACGTCTCCTAGTGCGCGGTTCTTTACACCCTTCTAGATTTGGGCTATTGGGCGCAATCTCTTGTTAACTAGGAAGTGGTTAACAAGTCGAAGACATCAGCAAACGTCGGTCTATCGAGTAACAATTACGATGCCGGTCGTAAGGACTGTGTATGTGTGCGGCCCTTCTTGGTATCCTCACTTCGTTAATCTTTATAAGTTTACCCAGTGAGGCCTATCACCAGTTCTCACGTTATAGTGGGAAATGGAACAGGTAGGAATAATCATGTAATTTATCAGTGACTATCATTTCGAAGACACTTATTCATCTTCTATACAAGTACCTTTCTCCTATGGGAGAATCCTTCCTCAGTTCATCGTGCAAAGAATTTTCGCCTGATGTCAAAACAACAGATCCATGTGTAGAACAGTTAAAATGGCTGAGCAAAGATAGAATAACGGAATTCTTTTAGATATCTGTCTATTAGGCAAGACTGACTTTTCTATATGATATTAATTTTATTTGAGAGGATCCAAGACAGCATACACTTTATAGCGCATAATGTCTGTTCTATGGCTGAAAAAGTAACCCAATTACCAATTATAATGAATATTTACAAGGGAATCATGCTTCTTCGAGCGATCGTACATTTACAACAAGATTCAAACGAAATAATATTTATCAACGATATGAAGCACGTCCAAATAAAATGCGAATTCGGTGTAGCAAAAATCACAAATTGAATGCAGTGATAGCTGATGTGCAATCGAAATGTGGTGCTTCAATATTTGTTAGTTATATCAAATGTCGAATTAAAACCATAGTCTTGTGGCGTAAGTTGGAACTAACATCAAGCTACATCGACGCGACTCGGTTTGCGCTGTAGCTCTATAGGGTTCATATTACTAACACTCGCATCATAAAAACTATCCCCACCGTGCTCCATTGAGCGTTGGACTTCCGCTTATACTTATTAATTGCACCTCGCGTGTTACCTTGATGTTGCAGACATTATTAATAACATTGCAGACATTTATTACGTCTTCTATCAATGTCGATAAAAGTTAATGCGAACGTTATATATCTCTTCATAAGACGTCGCACCGTCCTATAAAGAGATAACGTGGTGTCAAGGGCAAGGTTCAAGTCTGTACGGGAATGGTATCAGTTTGACATTATTCAGACGTCCCAAATATATTTGAATTTAACGACGTCACGCAGAGGTATAGCCAATGGTTTTTCATCAGTCTCGTTATGAGGTAAGCGTTCGTTACAGGTGTCATATTTAGCACTTATGTACCCACAGTACTCGGAAGCTGGCCGTCCGTTGGCTACAACGGGCCCAGATTCATCCCGTTCCGGAAATGGCCGCGCCTACCTAGCCTTCGGGGAAGGTGTCAGGATTATATAATAAGATGAGCTTAACGTAAAATGCTATATAACAGCGGTAACTTACGACAGAAGTTCACTTTCAGGCACAATTGGAAGTATATTGAAGAGCTGAATGCATAATAATTAACTTCCATTAAGCTTCCCATACCATTGTAAGTTTAGGTTGAATGAGGTGCGTTTAGGCGACAAAGACCTACCTTAGATCAAAATATTCTCGCGGTTTTGACTGACAAGCGTTGAGTGGATCCCATACCCTCTACATGTAGATCTCGCGTGGCGCGTCATTCGATTTGTATCCGAAGTTCATCGAAAAAATTTGCTGCCATCAATTTTTTGTTCAAAAAGGATCATTCTGTAGTACCATAGACGCAAATGAGCATGCGACACAGGTATACTGGAAATAAGCGTTATTTCCGGTTCGTAAGTCGGTAGGGATACGAAGATATCAAATATAGACTGCGACTGCAACTTAATGGTAAGTTCAGCTTCTCGCCATGAATTTACATTCGAATATACAACGTGCTCGGATGAAGGCAACTGAAAGAAAACGCATCTACAGGCTTCAGCCTGTAGATGCGTTTTCTTTGTCGTTGACATTATATTCTTTGTGAATAAAAATGTTTATCTTATTTTTTTCTATCTATTTTATACAATAATTAATATAATCATTAGTACAATTAGTAAAACGTTTGGGAAGCAGCGGTATCTCCAAGGTAACCAAAGCAGATCTCATCCCAGATAACAGAAAAAATGTTCATAGTCAGCCAACCAAATGAACCAATGAAATTACCAAGGGCTAACAAAGGCCAGTAACTTTTAACTTCCTACATAATCAAAAGTTATACACACGAACGGCTACGTGGATCAAATGGGAAAGCTGATTCGAAAAATTGTAACACTTTTTTAGATGTGTACGAAATGAATTACATCGATTGTTTTACTATTGGTAGAAAAACAATAAGCGATTCTTACTATTCCGAGCTGCTTATTCGCTTGAACGTTGCATCATCTAAAAAGGCTTCTGATGATTAGGACAAAGATTCGGTTCTAGCAGGACAGCGAGGACACATGTATTCTTATTTTTGTGAGGACTAAATTAAGAAAGTCACGTTACAGCAAACTACTAATTCTATTCGCGAGAAGTGGCAATGAGTGAATACTTTGTATTCAAGTATTTCGAAGGCGGTTTGTCTGAAGTACTTGTCACTTTAAACGCTTATTTTCCTTCTTTCAGTACTTACGCTGTAAGCCAAGACACGGCTATTATTATCATAAAATATTTTAAAGCAGCTTCAGTGCATATCGGTACATAAAGTTTTATATGAAACGAAAACGTAGTAGTTTTAACAGCCGTTTGTTTGTTTCCAGTGCATACGCTCGTCAAGTGATCTGTTATCCCGTTACATTAAATGTTTCCATTTTGTGCACCTTTATAGACATCCTTTAATCGCTTATGCTCCACTGTAAATCACTATTCAGGCACGTTTCATCGTTAAAACGATACCGACTTCAATGAGCAGCGCGGATATCGTGCACGAAGCGCCAATTAGATCTCGGGTACGAACTCGGTTGTTGGTGGCCATCAAAATTCAGCGACAAGGGGGATTCAACAAGCGGCAGCAATTACCATCAACGGAATTCTAACAACAAGAATGCCTATCATGATAAGTAAGTTAAAGGGTAATTTTCCGTTTTTGGATTCTCAAATTTAGTTTAGTACGTAATTATATAGGCAAAGAGTAAACTAATTTTATGCACCTTTTTAGCTTCGGACAGAAACAAAAACCCAAGTTTTTTTTTCATGAAAGAACTTTTAAACAGAAGAGGACCATTAATGGTGAATGATTTCAATCCTGTGCAGACAAAAAGGGGCAAAATGTTAATCAATAAACGTTTAAATATTACTATTTGCCTCATTTTGTCATGCCGAATTCCCAAATGTTTTACCTGCAGATTTAGCACCTTCGTAACCTGCTTAGATATACTGTGTACATTAAAGTGTTGAAATTTCAAGACTAGTAGAAAAAAAACTTTGCTCATTGTTTTATAACACCTTGAATTATAATTCTCTTCATTTCCGGTCTTACAATTAACTACAGTGACGGAAGCCGTACCAGCAACTCGGAAGATTCTCGATACAATAACAGCAGCAGCAGCAAACAATCAACGAGATTTTTACTTCCAAACCTCGGACCTTTCGAACTTCGACGGGTATTTCCTAATTTGGGACCATGGCCTGTGGAGAGTCGGCAGCGACCAACGCTGATAGTTGTCTTACTGCGGCCGCTGTGCCTCGACTCCGCGGTTATCAAAGGGCACACGCATGGAAAAAGCCACAGCAATCCTCGTCATTATATTGATGGTTAAAGCACAACTTCAAATCAAAGCAAACAAAGATACAGGTGAAACCCCGATTTTCATGTAATATTTACTTATAAAAAAAAAAAAAGCTTTGAAGTAATAATAATGACGCAGTCCTCATACCGTTTCAATTGTAAGCAAAATCGAATATATAACTTGGTTTGACCCAAACAGGGTGATCGGATGGAACTACTGAAGCAGTCCGGCCGAAATCCTAAAATGTGATAGAGCAGTAACGTGACTCGAACGATGCGGTACTTTATGAATTGCTGAAACAACGACACAGTGTATTAGAAAAACAAATATAAATGGTCAAAATAGTGCAACAAGGTAATGAGACTTCTGTGTTTCAGAAACGTGTGTTAGGCTAAATTCGGCCAAAAATGTTACACGATGTTGTTAACTGTGCCTGGTTTCTATATATTTAAAACAGATTCTGTATGAGGAATAGATATTATAGGTTCATTGATGAACATGGCCGGCACACAGGTCGAGTTTCCGGTATGAACTATTGGATGGAAGCTAGCGTTTGGTAAATGTGCTCCTCACCGACTGTCAAGAGCCCCAGATGGTAAGGGTATCAGGCTTTTCGAATCTCTTTGTTCTCTATCAGAGGGCACAGAGATCTTTGAAATGAGAATGATGAAGGGGATACGATGTATTTTGTTTATACTCACGTTGTTGTGATATTCATACCCGATTATTCATATGCACTTATTTGTCTTGTAAAGGCTAACAATCTTCGGCATTAATATTTTCGAAACTAGCAATATTCTCTATTAGTGTGATCGAACCTACTTTCGAGAACACTACGTGTAGCAAGTTCGCCTATAATTCGCACTGGTCGTACGTAACTCCCAAAGTGAGCTGATATTAGGGTTGAAATTATCTGCTCTCTGCTGTTGATCAAACGTGGAACGCAGTTCCGTACTCACGCCCTATCCGGCTTGTTACCGAGATACTTACATATTAGGTATAATGTAGAATTAAACGCGTTTTTCCATAGTAATTATTATTGCATACTTGTTACAGGACATCATCGCCCGGCACGAATTTGAGCAACCTTACGAGTTCTTCTCAAACATGGAAAGCACACCCAAAGGTTCGTCGTTATTCGGACGGATTCGACCAGAAAGCCTCGTCTACCATCAAAATTACCTTCGCTTTACATTTATACAATGTCATCGTTCGTTGACACTTCTTCTAGCTTCGATTATTATTATTATTATTATTAAGCTGCGTTCCGATAACAAGCGCAATAGTTTTTCGTCGAAATGAGACAAGAAAGAATCTCATCAGTGGCAGCAAACATTTATCAGATTACAAGTTACAATTTTAACACTTTGAATCAATTTTTCCGTCATCATCATTACCTTATAGACTGGTTCCAACGAATCTCATTACGATGTTCAGTTCTTGGTTGAAAATTTGCGCTATGCTGTTACGGTTTCCTCGTTCTAAATTATAACGCTGGCGCAGTAACGACACGTATCGAATGGTACCACAGTCAATTAATTTTCCGGTACCCCATTCAAACTGTAATCACACAATTTAGCTAGCTTTGTTCTCGACTAACGCATACACAATCGCATAGATCAGATCATATTTTAACAGTATCAAATGCTTCAGAACAGAATATCATCGTATGTTTCGAAAAGTGGTGTATTTATTACCTTGACAGGGCCTAACAAGATTTCAACAAGAAGCGTCCCGACCAGCACCTGTATATATACATACGGCATACGTGAGATACAGAAGCATAGTAGCCACGAACGTAGAACCTGCGTCTGACTGAGCTGTAGTTTTCTACCGTATACACAGAGCTAAATAAATGAGCAATAACAAGTTGACTTTTATATCAAATCAGTTTGCTGATATTGGTTGCTAATGACGTTGCAATGCAGCGTAACGTGAACATCAATCACAGTTCTACTTAAAAATGAGAAAAAGTTGCTTAATAAATAAGGAGTCTACGGATTTCAAAATGGATTATTGATGGCTTTTTGTATGTCGTGTGCCCCGTCAGCCTGTCACATATATTGTTAGTTAATTACGTCATGTATGTTGAAACCACGCAGTAACTAACACAATCTCTAGGGTACAGGTATTAGGTCTAAGCTGGCAGATTCTGATAGATATTCAAAAAAGCTCGTATAGATTTAAATTTATGCAAATAAATCCAAGTGACCCATACCATTGCGATAGTATTCTATTCTTCGGAACTTGAGCCCAAAATACTTAGCACAAATCTGAATAACTTTTTTTTTATCGTTTCTAAATAATAAGTCACTCCATGAATTGAACCCGCTTGGTTTTGAAATGTATTTGCGTCGTCCGTGTGATAGTGCAGAGCTAACGCATTTGTCTACCAAACTGCGGGACCTGCGTGTTTGTAACCCAAAACATTTTAAGTCGAAACCGCGCAATAGGTACACTCCGTTTAATGCTGAAAAGTGCGAACCGTTAGATGTGGTGCTTCACTAAAGCGATATCATGCATAAAAATTAAAACATTAATATAATGTGTCTGCACGATACGGGATACGATCCCGTTTACTGACTAGTAAAATAACATTATGTATATTGAATGAGCAACAATTAACTTTGTCATACGAGAACAATTTGATTCACTTACGCTTACATACCGACAATATACATTTCAAAAGTAGTTCCATAGCGCTGCCTTGATATAGTTATAGGACAAACAATGTGATCCAAACGTACTGATCTAGTACCCTTTGAAACATTTTACAATATTATCAATATTACCTTAAATTACATAAATATGTGTCCATGTATACCGACTGTTCTAAGTCTAGATAGAATCTATTAAATAACGCACAATCGTAAAACATGTTCGGAAACATGTTTACAATTTATTGACAAAAATACGCTAAAAAAGTATGATTAAAAGTTAAACACGAAATAAATTACATTACAAAATATAGATTCTAATTTACCTAAAAGAAATCTCTTCTCATTCTACAATTGTCACCGCCCGACGCGGAACCGAAATACTGGTAGACGAAACATTCACCTCCAATATTATAAAATAATCTTTTATTTCCTTATTTACTTAATATTTGTCCATTTTACTGCCTTTCTCGCACCCCACAGCCCATCCTCATTTATTTTTACTGTGTATTTACACATTTTACATAAAACTTTTACTGTGACACCTGTATCTATCTATTTTTGATCTATTTCGTTCTACGAATTCGTCTCATTCCACGTTCTCACAAGGATATACGCATAACAATAGGGGTGAAGTACATTAATCGCCAATACGACTGCTGCTATACTACAACCCTATTATTACTGAATTCACAAGCTTCTTTACTAGGCTGGCTTCCTATTTTCCGTCCTAGAAAAATAGGAAACCAAGTTCGTTTTACCCGCTTCGGGTTACCCTTCTGTCATATTTCCACATTTCCTTCTGTCATATTTCCACATTTGTTGAATAGCTAACTGTTCGAGAACATTAACCTAATTCGATTAGAACCATCAGTCGCCTGTTACAACATCTGCAATCGTACTTGTTTGTAATAGATTTTGTTACAAAATGTAACTGATTGACAGGTGACGATTTGCATCTGGAATATCAACCTTGCATGTTTAGAATACCGGCCTCTTTACTGGCGAAGCCCTATCGTTCGCTCACTAAACCTTCCTTAATGATCTGCCAACACTATAGCCGACTAATCACCGGCGCTGAAATAACCCTTCTAAGCGTCACCTATTTGTCGGCACGAATTACGTAACTTCCTTCAAATTTTTTTGTTCTTTTTCCTACTACACACATAATAGTATTTATCTGGACGAGCGACATATGCCGTTTGCTTGTTCATGACGCTGAGGGTTCACACAAACATTTATTGCAAATCTACCCATTCAAAGGAGAAAACGCACTTCGCATTGTGGTTAAACTGGCAGTGGATAGTCGCCGATTTCTGTAATCTCCTTTGCTGACGAACGGAGCCGTCGTGTCGAATTACCGCACTTCGTTAGTACTTAAAGTAGGGTACGAGAAAGGCTAGAAGTATCGTTGAGCTGGTCCACTTGACTGCCAATTCAAGTTGCGAGGTGGTCCTCTGGATCGTTCCATAGGGCGAGATCGTTCATTTGGTCGATGGATCGACAGCATCGAATTTCTTGACGAGCCACTGCTTTCCATGGCGACGAAGTCATCGACATGCATTGATGGCGGACGGGAAGTATTTGGCGGACGTGACCGGAAGGGGTCATTGGCACGAGACTGTCTCGCCATCATCAATGGGGCCACATTAGCGCGCATAGGAGCCACAAAGGGTTGTTGCTTTTTCGCTTCTTCCGAACCCGACCCATGACCTGTGCTTCGATGATGTTTCGGCAGAGCGAAAAGCGGCTCCTGCTTAATGGTTCGAGCGAGCATTTTTTCGAGTTCGGCCCGCAAACTTAGTTCGGACATTGTGCACGTCTCGGAGATGGCGACAAGATCGGTTTCGATAAGTAGCGTATCACGTTGCAGTGAACATTCGCGCTGGTATTCATCTAGGTCGGATGTTACACGTAGGAGTCTAGAATAGGATGTCGTCCATCACCAAATGAAAAAAATTTTCTACGTTAACAACGGAATGGCTCCATTATTCTCTCCATGTTCTCGACTGGTCTATAAAGCTTATCGTCACTTTGATGTCTTAAACCAAACATATGCTTAAAACATAAAAACATACCTGGTAGCGTCGAGATCGACGTCGGGTATGTCATCGATGATGTATACCACCCTTTCAGCTTCAAAGATTTCGCCAAGGCTCTTCTGAGCCGTTATGCTCTCGGGAGCAGGCGTATCGGGTCTTGAGGTTGTTGACTCCATATCGCTGAACTGCACATCCTAAGTGGGTTCGACATGCAATATAAGTAGAAAAAAATAACAAACGAAATATTCTATATTACCATTATTCTATATGGCCACGAGCCAACAGTTTTTAAGCGTATAGGTGATTTACATATTAGACTTTTCAGCAAAATAAAAAATATTCTTCAAGAAAAGTGTAAGATTTTTGCTAGAATATTTTTTTTATATCAAACACCCTTAAGGATAAAAAAAAGTACTACAAAAAAAAGAAACCTGCTTCAAATTGCTCTTTATTTTAGATTAAATTGTAAATAAAAAAGAAAAATACCTGGTGCTCATCAATAACAATTTGTAGCTCATTGTAAGTTGTCTCCAGTCCCTCAATTGATTCCTGCTTAAGTTTGTCCTTAAGCGTAGCTAGAGGATGCGGCTTATCTGCTGTAGTTTCCGTAGGTTTCAACAACATCAGGTCTCGTAACGCCTTCTCCTCAAGTTTCTTTATGAGTTCTACTAAGCTTAGTAAACCACTTAAACTGTCTTGGCACTCGGCGGCGAATTTGTTACCAAGCTGGTCAGCAGCTGGAGCGACGAAAACGTTGTGAAAACAAGATTTCTGGTTAACGAGGATTTTCTAGTTGCGATTGACTCTTTTTGTTACTGTGTCCGTCCATCCATTTGTTAGAGGCACTCTTCGGTTGTACTTTCAAAATTTAATGACAAATACAGCAGTTTTAAAACTCACCTTGATATATTAAAGGAATACACTCTCCCAGAATTTCACCTGTGTGTGGTACGTCCTCGGTTTTCATGCTGATAAGACTGCGGAGCACTTCGAGGATGGTCGAGGGCTTGCTTCTTTCACTAGCGGCGTGCGCCAGAAGCGCCCTGATCAGGCCTGATGTCATCTCCTTTGTCGAATACCTGTGAGCCTTAAGTAACACACTTCGCACTAAGTGTATGCTTGACACAACCGGAACATCCTGTGTCGACTCGTTCAGGAGCTTCAATGCGGATTGTAAAGGATTGGTTTCTGACTCTGAATTGCCGTATAGCAATAGGACACCAACAGACGCTGGAAGGTGGTTTTCGCAGAGCTTTGAAAGTAAGCTCAGGGGACCATGAAGATAGCGCTGATCGATACCTTCTTTAGGAAAAGTGGAAATCGTCTCGGACAGGATATCCAGGATCATCTGACAGGATGGCGCACTTAAGTCACATATTTGTATTGTGAATAGTTCCAGCATACGAATTACGTTAAGATCCGTTGACGAACTCAACGTCTGATATAACTCGAGTAGCTCGGACCGACACTGATCGAGATGCACGGACCAGAGCTTGCGATTTGTAATCAGAATCTTTGCGTCCTCTTCGCTTTCGAGTGGCCGATCTACCTTCATCGGCAGCGGGAGTGGGAGCAGCTCGCAGAGAACTTGTAGCGTTGTTCCGAATGCCTTTGGTCCACTTCGGAGGTTCACGAGAACCTTCTTGAGCATCATCGTCCAAAGGCTTTTGTTTAATGTTTGCTCCGTCTCTGTGCCATCTTGCGTCGGTTGTGTATACGCTAGCAACGTTGTCACTGTGATGTAGCTCAGCCTTTCCTCGCCTAACATCCAGAATAGCTGGTAAGCATTTAGCAGCACTGGTATAGGTGTTAGATCTTTGAATGCAGCACCCCGGCAACAGATAACCATCTTCAGCATTTGTGATACCATTTCGACCGCTGGAGTGAGAACCTGAAGCACACGAAGTACCTTGGCCTTTGAACTGAGTTCTAGCTTGACTGCGAGTGGCGCGGCGTAATACTCGCAAAGCTTTTCGATGAGCTGTGACAATACCGTAAGACCATCCTGCGAGAAAAGTTCAGCCAGATTATATCGATGTTTAAGGAACGGTTCATCAGGCCGCAGAATGTCTCCCGGTGCCGAGATACCTCGCAGTGTTCGAACCGAAGCGATCATCTGGGGGCAAAGCAAGGCGTTTTCCTGCATATATGCCTTGATCCCTGTCACCAGCAGGGCTACACAGGTATGCTCTAAGGGAAACTGGAGTTTGGCCAAGGGCTCCAGCCACGGCGACAGTGAGTCAAGTCGACTACTGGTTTCTGAAAGCTAAAGCCATACAGCATAAGCGCACAACCACAATTGCCATTGATAATGATTGTTCCCATTTCATTTAATTCACAAAGAATGGAACGGACCTACAGTTTCCACCATGTTTTTAAATATGTGCAAATTGTTCGGTAACGTGAATGTCTAGCATAGACTGTCACACAAGATGTACTAGGCTATTGTAGGTGTAAACATGTACTACGTTCATTATTGTTGTATCTGCCAGAAGATTAAAGAATACCGATTACCAAACTTACCTCAATTAATTTGGTGAGATACTTGTCATAGAAGTCCACATGCGTCCCAAGTTGTACGACGGTTTTGATAAGCACAACGGCATAGCCTGAACAAACTGTTGTCTTTATAATCGGTTCACCGTTGCGTCTCTGCACGAACTGCAGAATTGATTCAATGTTATTCTCGAGAAGAAACGCTTTTACGAGGCCCTCTACTCGACGTGGATTAGCCTTTTCTAATGTTAACGAAGCCAATCGATGTAGTGCCCCAACCAAAATTTCATTCTGATCGAGATCTTCATGCAAATCTTCTGTCATTTCTTTCGAGGTCTGTTCAAATACTGTACTTATCAACGCTACCGATCTCAGTGTCGCCGAAACATCTGGAACCAGTCGCTCTAACAGGGGCACCAGAATTGGTTTCTCGAGCAAGTAAAGACATCCCGGCATAGTTGACATGATCTCATCGAGGAAGCTCCCTAACGTCGAGCGGAACGCTTTGCTTCTAGCAGCCAAAACACAGCACGTTACCAACAGATCGTTGTAACGATACATCGAGTATAGACCAGTGTATGGATCAACCACAGATGTTGGCGACTCGAATTTTGCCTTGGCTGGCAGCGATCTCGGGTACTGCCCCATCGTGGTGCCCGCCTCTAAATGAGTGTCAAAAATCTGCTTGAGAATGCTCGCAGCTTCGTCTAATGATGGCTCCATATCGGGCTCGCTGTTCATCAGGTCGACAGCAACGTTTTTTAGCGTTGCACACAGGTCGCATAAGTGCAATTTGCTTAGCAAGGATGACAACGCCACACTGAGTCGACTGGAAGGATTTTCCAAAAGCACTTTAACCAAGGCTTGGTAGCAGGTGTACTCTTCTTCGACGGAATCACCAAACGTCAATGTAAAACGATGATACATCAAATATCGTAGTCCGCACTGGAAACGGCTTAACATGTCGAGACACCTAACCAACTGCAGCTTCAAAGGAAGATACATATGTGGCTTTAGGTAAAGACGTAGGAAGTGTCCTCCGGCTACATCAGTTCTCAGCAGTTCTGCCATAGTTTCCTCATCAGAGGCCGTCATCACAGCAGCCACAAGCCGCAGACCTGCTTTGAGGTGACGTACCTTGAACGCTGGCTGGCTCTGCTCGAGTGCAAGGTCAAAGTCCAACCCATCGCGACACCATTGTATTAACGTACGACGAACCACAGTCGGCACGCGGTCCATCCTTGAGTTTGGCCCGAAAAGACTAGCGACATCCTCCATCGCCAACACAAATTTTTCACCTCCTCGACTTTCGACGGCTTCAGCTTCTACTCTTTGAACTAGTTCATCAAGCCTAACACTGTCCAGACCTGGTGACAGATGTCTCCCTTCTCTAAGAAAACTGGCTGAACCCACTTCTTCATCAAGTTGTTGCTTCAGGTCAACAATAAACTCAAGGACATCCTGGCTGGGTCCCGATCCCCTAGCATTAGGTGAATCTTCAATCATAGCTGTAGCTGGATCGAAAGGCTCATCGTCCGACGAGATCTCTTCGAGGTCATCAGAAAATTCATCCTTTGAATCAGACGATTCGCTTCTCTTTCGCTCATTTCCGCGTTCGGTTCGCGAAGCTCCATCTGTATTTCGGCTATCTCTCTGACGCTCCCGCCTTGACTCCTCCCTGCTCCTATCCCTGTCGCGATCTTTGTCCCGTTCTCGATGCTCTCCCCTTTCTCGGTCTTTCCCACCATCCTTCGAATCCCGATCCTTTGCTTCACCTTTCTCCCGATCGCTCCGGTCTCGCTCACGTTCTTCTCGTGACCTTCCGCTGTCTCTTGTGCCAGAATCCACTCTAGCAGATTCGGATCTGGATTCCTCTCGCCCGCTGTCTGCGCGGTCTCGGTCCCCACCACTGCTGCCGCTCCTTTGTCGTTTTGAATGACGCGACTCATGTCTGTCATGTTGGTCCCTGATCTCTCGGATGTCCTTGTCGCGGCCGTGCCGTTCCTCTCGACGGCTTCGATCTCGCCGTTCACCGCCACTATCTGATCGATCGTCAATTTCCTCCTTTAGCAGACGACCTACTAGAAGGGGTGGTGATGACGTTGCCTCCGCCGGGATTTCACATGGAATCGGTGGAGTTCGGGGTCGTTTCCGCTTTTTAGCAGAAAGACCGCCGCTAGGTGGAGTAAATCTGTGAAAATAAGAGAAACGTCCGTAGAGAACAGGTTGTAAATAAACATTTTCTAAACTCAATGATCGCCAAAGCATACGGTAAGCGACAACCCGTTCTTTGTATCTAATGACGGCTACCTTTCCATGAATGGGACGCAAATAAGCTCTTTGCTGACGGCACATCTAGGAATCGTTTCTATTGACATAAATCTATCAATTTCTAGAAATATGATATTAGCTTTGATACGCAGATGAATAGGAAAACTGTTGTTTAGAAAATCTCATTTCCTGTTCAGTTACCTGCCGTCATCGTTTGAATGTTGTTCTTTCACAAAAGGCTCATCTTTTATGTGTCCTGCCAACTGTGAAATTCGTTTGTCGTCCCGCGGAGAGCTGGCTGAGTTTCTGTACTCTTTAACGATAGACGTTGAATGGGCGGACTGCTCTTTGACCTCTCGCAGATGCCGCGCTTCACCATCTTTATAATGGGCGTGTGTCTGTCGTACATCCTGTTGTGGCTCCGTTTCGGATTTCCACTCGAGAGGTACCTCCACAGGTGTATGTTTCTGTTCGGCTGGAGTTTGCTGCTGTTTCAAGTGATGTACGTGCGTGTGGCCAATTGCATGCTCTACAAGAAAGTGTCAAGATCGAGAGAAACATGAAGTAAATGAATAATTCGTTTTTAAAATTTCGCGGGAACTGTTGGTGAGCATTGCACCTTCTTATCGTCTGCTACACAACATGGCACAGTGCTAATTAGTTCAGATATATATATATTCTAACAATCAGCTGCGAATAATCGTAACGATAGTAATGATAAATATTACGAAATATAATCCGTTGATAATATGACCTTGTTAAATACGAGAACGATGTAAAAGCGACGCAGCACCAATGATTTACGGACTTATTTTCTGACGAACTAGCAACGTCATCAATGACCAGGCCACGTTATGCTTTTAGGTGGAGATATTTATATATTTAATATTTAAATATATTTTTCTTTGTTCTACTAAAATTTCATTCTAATAAAGTGCATTTACCCTTTTTGGGGAAGTAATTATACGTGGTACAGCCGTAACCAGTGAATTATGATATTGGTCATGGTCCAAACATGATAAAATATGATACATGCCGACTTTATGTCCGCTAATAGGAGGTTGTTCCGGTTGAGCAGGAACGACGTGTTGGTGTTGTTGGGACTGTATATGGACTTGCTGCTGTGCAACTATATGTTGCTGTTGTTGTTGTTGCTGCTGTTGCTGCTGTTGTTGTTGCTGCTGCTGCTGCTGTTGCTGCTGCTGCTGTTGCAGTTGCTGATGATGATGATGAACTGGCTGCGGCTGTTGTGGCGGGGTGTTCTCCTGCTCAAGCCTAGTGAGATTCCCGTACACGGCCAAAGTGATTGTAGTGTATCCGCCTTTGATAAGTAGACCGTCTGTTGGTACCCGACGTGGAACGAATCGGATCTCATCCCGTGTGAATCCCAATTCACCGAGCTGAACGAATGTTGACGAGTTTCGTCGTGATAAATCGTTCACGAAGAGCTCCAACTGTAAACGGAATCGAGTGAGGTATATAGGTAGAATGAGAAAATGCGTAGCTCGTACTTACGGTCACATACTGCCTAACGTATTATGAATACGGGGTCGAACAAAAGCCCTAATTGAACTTTTCGATGGCAAAAATCGTCTGGCAAAATAGAATACCTGAAATGCTGAGGGATTTGTAGCCCCGAGACGCGGGTGTCCACCGGGGAAGTCTGCCTGAACTCGACAGCCGAGCGGAATTACCCTTACCTCCGACACCTCGACGGGCTGAGGGAACTGCACGAGATCCATGTTCCCCGATTCCTGAACGGACGAAACAAAAACGGACGCTTTGTAAAGTAAGAATATACAGACAAGCGTAGCTAATCAGAAGTTGGAAATAACAGGTACATCATAAAATCACACAACGATATAGTTTGAGACACAATATATAATGACATAATATACAACACTGCTCTCTCTCTATAGCCAGTGAAATAGTGCTAACCGAAATTGATTGCATATTTGATCCTTCAATTTCGGTTAGCACTATTTCACTGGCTATAGAGAGAGAGCAGTGTTGTATATTATGTCATTATATATTGTGTCTCAAACTATATCGTATATATATATATATATATATAGAAAAAAAAGAAAATGTCATCTGAATTGTTTCAAAGCATTGACTGAATTAGATTAGTTAGAGTCAAATATGAGAAAATATTTTTTTTCCAGTTTTTTGTCACCTCGACATTTCGCCACAGTTTTAATTGAAATCGTCTATGTTTATTGATATACATGATACAAGGTCAAAGAGATTTTTATAAACATTAGTTTTACCTAGCGAGCAAACAAAGTAAGCATTGCTTGGCTGGAAAGTTTTAAACTTATCCATTAAATACGCTACAGACAACAAATGCAGATTTTACCTAAAAGATACTACACTACTACTGCTAGAATGTATGATGTGAGGGCTTACATTTATATAATTTTTCCGGTTCTTTTAGATTAAAATGGTAGGATGGTACCTAGGTATTTTCAGAACAACTTCTACAGAATATTTGATTCGGTATCCTACATTAAGCATTGTGCAACATTTTATAGGCATTATTTTGTAAATAAATAATATTAATCAATTATTTTAAAGAAATTATATATAAGGTTTTAATAAATCATTCTGTTAATTGATAAATATGAAAGCAGGTGTTATAGTAATTCTTTGTGCAAACAAAAAGACGAATTCACAAATGGACTGAATGCTAGCAGTTAAATTAGACAAACGTTTGAATAAAAATTACCATTATTTGACCACTGTAAGTATGTTATTATAAAATGTACCTATGCCTATTGAACTGTAAATAAAAGATTGGGATGAAAATAACAAAGAAAATTTTGCTAATGTAATCAGCGGTAATGTACACGCATATTGAAAAGCGTCGCTTCATGTTTTCTTCGAAAAACATTTGACATTTCCAGAAAAAAATTTTGATAAAAATCACAGTCATCCCCTTCACTGAATTACCAATCGTTCGATATGCCCTCTTTGGTGAAAACGAATCATAATCATGCAGCATTTACTATTTAGATGGGTAGTTTTCGATATGACTTCTTGCATAACTATTCAATGAGATTCGATGTATTAGCTCAGCGTAGTTGATAATGCTATCGGAAAGGCTGTTATTAAAATGCCAATACAGTGATTGGTTTTTGTAATAACTGGGTAGGTTCTGTAGACAACTTTTTTTTTGAAACTAGCTCTTATCTAGTACGATTATTCTAGCCAAAACTCTTAAAAAGCTGACGCTGTTTGGATTGCTATCAGCAAATAAAACTCAATGTTAAGTTAAAGTCAAATGATTCATATGTGCCTTCAAAAATGTTCACCGCTAACAACCTATTTCTAGGCAGCGTTCTATGTCACGTTCGTCTCCTAGATTGGCCATTGTTCTTTTTGGTAATTAGCCTCGTAACTCACCTCACTGGCGCAATGGGAGAACGTGTCGAAGAACAGCAGTTCTTCAGTCAAAGATTCTGACGTAGTCGTCATGTTGCAGTCCTTGGTATAGGCCGGGGTTTACCTAAATCTGGCGCCAGATGCGTTTATATTATCGAGCACCGACCGTCGCGTAACCGGCGAAACAGACCCCACCAAAAGCTTTCCCACAAATCCAACAGTAGCCACCACACGCACCAAAAACAGAGCTATCCCAGGGGTGAACTGAAACCTGTGGGCAAAGGCGCGCAGAGCATCCAAACAACGATTTTCACTAGCGAATTTGAGTTTCCATCGATGGCGCCCGACTTCTTTCTCGGTGAGTGATGTTTTTGGTCGGCTTCTTGTTGTCCGTCGTCTGGGCGAGATTCATTTGGCGAGTGGATGTCTGCTCTAGTCGTGTGTAGACACAACAAACAAGAGTCCCGCGGGACGGCCATAGAGACACGTATCAATGTGAGGGACTCCGCTAAATATCAACTGAGCTGCCGTGGAGCGAAGGCGTCGCAGAGAAGTCAGGCCCAACTAACGGCGAGAGCCGACAAAATGGAAAGGGAGTTTCTGATGCCGTACTAATTTTTCGAAGAGCATGATTGACAATTCTACATAACAATTGGCGCAGAATCGCAACATTAGTTTATTTAAGCCGTTTTAGTAGTGGACTACTTATATATATATATATATATATATATATATATTCAAAGTGAAATGAATAACTTCAAAGAACATAAAAAGCGTGGTGCGACTATATTGTTTTCTTCGATTCGTTCTTTGATCGAACTAATCATCGATGATTTTCAACTTTTTCTAGATTCGATACGATTTTTTTGGTAGATATTGGTATCGAGTGTATTTTTCGATTATTGTCATGTAAACTTCCGCTGCAAAAAAACTTCTTATATTAGTAATAATACACCAACAGCTATCAAGTGCAAATGTAGGCAAAACATAGTTTGATATATACTCGAATTTAAGTTAACTTTAAATTCTATGAACTGTTGTCGTTTTGAACACCTATCTTCTGTTTCATTATTTACGAAACATGCCGCAATTGCTTCCAAAAAAGTTTGAGTGAATCCTTCAACTTGTTCATGTTGGCCTTGAAGACCAAAAAACAATTCAGTGTGATTCTCAGGTGTCAAACATTGTCGCAGTAAATCGTTACTCTTGGTGCCTGCGTTCACATAATTGAGACAAGTGTGTGACAATTGGGTTGGGCTGCGCTATAACTGGGCAGTTAACTCTTGTTTCAAGACACATACAAATCGAGGTCGTCGCTAAAATTTAATAATACACTGCAGCTGCAAGACAAGTTACTATAATCCTTAATCCGACGTGCGCACTTTTTAGTACTGTGTTCATGTTCGTCCGACATCTGTTCAGCTGTCATTACATCCAGACGAGTTCGGTTTACTTGATATTTCCAATCCTGGTTATTTTGCCGCTATTTTCTTTCACATTTGCCAAGCGTTCTCCTCCGCTAGCTTCTGATTGCCCTAGAAAACTAGCGCCCTCTCAATGAAACCCTCGTTGGTTTTCTCTGCAATTTGCTGGCGTATCAGCGCATCGTTATTGTCATCATTAGGCGATGCGGCTTGGCGATGTTTGTTGCCATATCGTCCGCTTCGCTTTGATGTTGATATGTTACCAGACATTTTAAAAGTGCCCGCGCCCCACACAGTCCTTCCCGTCGGAGCAACCTTCTCTCCCCTCGCCGCCATCCCCGCTGCTGTGGCCAATGCACTGCCCCTTCAGTGTGCTGAGTGTCGTCGTTGTGAGAGGGTGTGGGTCTGTGCTGGGGCGGTGGTGTATTGTGCTATTGTCACTAATAGTCCTGCCGCTATTGTGAATGCTCCTGCCGTCATTGGCTTCGCTCACTGCACCCATTTCTACCCGTTGACGCGTATCTGTGCGTGAGTGGTGTCCCAGTTTAGCTGCTGGCTTCGGCAGCTTGCGTCTGTGGTCGCCGTGCCGCCACAGCCACCATTGGCGACGGAGTGCAGCCGCTCGTTGCCTGTCCGTGTTCTCTCAATGTCCGTTTCACGGCTGTCTAGGCCAAGTGCAGCAGGAGAGCACCACAGCCGATTATCCTCATTGCCTTTATCACTTTTGCGCTTGTTGGTGGGAATCCTTCACTGCCATTGTGTTGTCGACCGCTTCCGTTTAAGGTCAAACGCAACGTCGACGGATGCCTGTGTTAGCTTCTCTCTATAAGAGTGAAAAAGCGATCGTTCCTTAGGACGCCGTATTTCTTGGACTCACTTGCGCGAAGAGAGGCGTTTGCATTTCTGGAGCACAAAAGCATAGAGAAGATTACCGAGTTGGATTTCAAGAATCTGTTGCTGTACTTTGCTCATTCTCCCTCGCTCTCTCTCTCTCGTCTTCCTCTCTCCTTGCTCGCTCGCTCCCTCCCTCCCTCTCTCGCTTGCAAGCCCTTTGTAGAAAATCGCAGGAAGGAGTGTCTGTGTTTATTCCAGTGGATGTATTTCTCCGTGTGGCTGTGTCCATGTGCAAGAAGAATCGGCGGGAATATCTTTCCGTATTTATATGTTGTGTGCTTGCAAAATTTCGTTGCCTGCCTCACCGACTGAACGGATGTATGGAGTCTCTGATCATGTGACAAAAGTGATCAATACTACAGCACAATAGCCCCCTGTACCACACTGGATTAGCTGCTATTGCCGTGTCTTTAAATGCCCCTAAAGGGAGACAGCTTTCACGCTCTTTTGTGTTCTTAGCGCCACGAGTGAAGGGATATTCGACAAGTTAATCATAATCGAGTAAAAACATATAATCAGCGACACATTCACTCCCTCTCGTAGCAGTAGCAGCAGCGAGCGCGATCGCTACTGGCGCGTGGTAAAGTCGATCAAATGGGATTTTTCTACTGTCACATGAAGTTCTGCATGTATGTGATAGCTTGCTGTACTGGAGCCCACGTGAGTACGTGAGCTACTCTCTTTGAGCCATCAAGAGTGCCCGCGTGTGTGGCTGCGTGTCTGACACGCTCACTAAGTTGAACACGCGCAAATATTGTCGGAGGACAAACGAACTACGCGGAGGAAGGCAGAAGAAAATCGCAGAAGCTCAAAGCGAACAACAAATAACTCAACAAACTGAAAGTAGCCGTACATTTGCGAACTCACACACGCGCGCGCGAAAGACCGTTATGCAATGCAAGATAAACTCCTCACCTATCACCTCGATATATTCGAGTGTACGAACTTTCGAATCGACCTCCACCCTATTTTACGCTTGCTGTCGGTTTGAGACTGCGTAACGAACCTTATTTTTTTTTCGTCAATAATAGTTGGTCGAAAGCATCGCTATTCGACAACAATCGTTGCCGCTGGCGCTGGAGACCGTTTCCCAAATCGCGCTCGACCTGCATACAACGACACTGTAGCCATTGAGCGTACTCTCGGCCGGGAAGGGCTATTTGTTTGAGTTAGGCGATTCATTATAATTGTACCGTTACAACTACTACGAGTAGCTCAAAACAGTCTTTGATCTCCACATCAACTGCACCTGCTGTCCTCGTAGACACTAACGAACGAACGTCGAATGCGGACGACCCATATGGATAGTTGGACCTCAGCGGCTTTAACTGAGAGCTAGTTTAATGAAGCAGCTAGTCACTTCGTTGGATTTATACAATCTCTGCCCTCGAAAGTTGTTATTGTTACTGCCTATCGACCAGCGGCTTGTTGCTAACATCGGCAGCAGCCTAGAAAACTGTGCCACAGTTGCAGTAACGCGCAGGACAGGTCAGTCTGTAATGGTCCTGCTGTTACTGTTACAGTCGTCCTACACGGCTCCCTCAAAGGGCTGAACAAAATCGAAGTCGCCTACCGTTGCCAGATAGATTCGTCTCAGCTACCAGGCTGGTTTCGCTGCCATTACGACAACTATTTAGGATTAATCGGTGCTATCAGCCAGGCACCGTTGCAGCTTTAGCCAAGAACTAACCAGGGTTGTTGTGACTATGATCCGTTGAACGTATCGTTCAGTAGCAGAGGAAACGCTTTTCGGCCGTCCGTCATTGTTCTTCGACCTCCATCGAATTACACCGCATTCAGTGAGGCTAGCACCGCCTCGTATTTGTTACACCCGCGTTTCCACCGCTGGGAGGGAGGACACCGAAAAGGAAACAGGAATTCAACCAGACGTTAATTGCCATTCTTGGCAAAAGGGTATATCCCACAGTTACCGTTTTGACAAGCTCGACATTCTATAGATTCGCCCATTTGTAGATAGTGGGAGCCGCTTACTTGAACAGCTGCAAGATCGTCTTTGTTTACTGATGACGCTGTCGTCATTGTTGTTGTCGCTGCTGTCATCTGCTCGCTCGGAAATAGAGTCAATTACTTGCAAAGAAACAAGCTCAAGACGAAAAAGTGCGTCTTCATGCTGTTTGCCGATTTCATTCGAGTTTCTGTATACACCTTTAATCGTGCCTAGTGGGACATTAGTGATAGTTCGTTACAGGGGACAAATACTCTGTCGAAGCGTTGTCACTCGTAGGCTTGTCTAGGAGCTGACAGCGGTAGCACATTGCTGTGGGATCAATGCAGTTCTTGATTACACTGCCAAGGCTTCAATATAGTGTATGATTGTGTGCGAGCTGTCAGCCGATTTAGATAGGGTGATAGCGGAAAAGCGGAGAAAGGGAAATCACGTTAAATTGAAAAGAAAAAAAAGGTGTGTTATTTGTGCCCTGTGCTTGTGTCACGAGTTTGTGGTGGTGGTGGTGTTGTTGTTGTTGTCGTCGTCGTCACAAAAATAAATATTTGCCACGTGTACAACGCCTAGAGGATATGTGCAAATCCTTCGTCGATCATGCAGCGGACCCTCAGGTCAGTATTCCATGGACTAGCTAAATGCTGCGGGAAGGTAAAGGAGTTTTTGTGTACAATGACCGGCTTCCCTTATTATGGTGTCATCTACCACAAACATCATCGATCATAAAAAGCTCTAACAACGCCAAACTGTGTGCCGATACAAGATTCTATTTCTATGTAAGTTTCTAATAAGATCAGAACCTATATCAGATTAAAATCGTTCAACTTTTATGTCGTGTAGGCATGGTGGCCTTGAGTTACAGAAACGCTGGCATGGTCTCCAGTTGCTATCGACTGCCGGCATTTCGCAGTTACTATAGAACAGGCCAGTGGGCTATATATATATATATATAAGTAGCCTGCTGATGGTGGCCGCTTAAGAAGCGGGAAGAAGCAATGGATGCCTGCGTCCACGTCGTCAGTCGATCTCGTCGTTGTCGTTGTTCCCGTTGGCTGCATCATAATGAATGAGGCCCCTAAAAGGCTAGCTTGCTCGATCGTTTCCTCCCTGGCTTTTCTCTAGCAGCTTTCAGCAGATGGCGTGCTACTTGCTTGCTTGCTCTACCCGCCTTCCTGTTGTGCAGCGTGAAAACGCCAGCAAAACGACCACATGGTCAACGGAAGCTACACAACCATAGCTCTAAGCAAAGCATCCGGCAAGCAAGAGATATCATGAGCGGATAGACACGCGTTCATGCCGGTTATGGCCGAGATGCGATGGTATTAATGCATCAAATACGACATAGATATACTGTATACATAGTTGTAGGTGCGACGTACGAAAATTGTCTCGTACCTAAGTTGGGCAGATATTAGCCGAGACAGAACTATATGGGGGTAAATGGAGAATGTAGGAGAAATGCGCATATTAATTAGCCAAGAAATAACAGCGGAGGAGAAACAATGCTATTTCTAGTATGATTTAGGTTGATGTCTGCTTTCACAGTTCTGGCAAAGAGTACCCGAAAATTAGACAGTGCTCAACTAAGTTGTCGCTGGGTTCGCAACTGATACCTGATGGATGTCACTACTAAATTTGGTCACAGTAAATAAACATTATTTACTCGTCATGGATACCATTTACTGGACCTTTGGCCATCTAAAAATTCGACCTCTTTTCGATTGATTCTTCGTTGCCTTTCGTTGTAGCATTACTATTCATTGCTTTAAGCCGGACCGCTTGTGTTCAGAATACCGGCAAAGACGGCATTGGCAATTGATCTGTTAAGCAATGAATTAGCGAGCGGTCATCCATTTGAACTGGTTTATTTGTAGTTTATTATAGTATCACTCGCTTTATTACAGTATAGCTCGCAGAGCTATACTGCACATTTGTCACTGTATCACGTTTGTAACCCTGTCACCTTTGCTGCCTCTGATGCACCTATAAAATTTGCTTGAATTGTAAGTCTTAGGACTTTTTGCTTTGGCGGAAACCGTTGCTTCGGCCGACCTGACCAAGCTTTACGGTCTACAATTAACAAATGTATGTACAGATATGTGTATATGTATAACAATATAACAAATGTAAATATATATAGGTAAACACATCAGCATGCGAACTGATCACTTGACAGATGCAAGAGCAGTGTTTTATTCGATGCGTGCCCCAAGGAAGCAGTAAAAGCAGAGGACCCGTCAGTTGCGTGAACTAATGGATATCAGCTCCTGTATCACGAGTCACCGCCACCAGCATCATCATAATCATCATCAGCGTACTCAAAAACGACCGCGACAGTATTTCCAACTGTAGCGGGGGCACCCGTTGTGTAGCCGGGCTGCCTATGGTGGCATAGCGAAGCATGGACGAGTGCATTGACTTTCTACTCAGGAACTTCTCCCGGCAGCCGCGTACGGAGTCAGCCACATCGACGCCGCCAGGAGCCACGACGAAAGCGGAAGAGTCGAGTGCGCCAGTTACGTCTGCCTTTGCCGTTGACGGAGCAGCGTTGCCGTTAAGCGGAGCCGGCTCCTGACGTCGGGCAGGCCCCGTGGCTCACCAGCGCCAATGTATTGTCCTGTACTGTGCCATAACAGCAGCAGCTGACATTGACGGCGCTCCCGTTACGTCACGTGTTGACATCGACTTCGTCACCGGCTTTTCTTGTATAGGTCGTTCATGCAATTGTCTCGACCCAGGGGCAGGAACGCATTGTGACTGCAGAGGAAACAGGACGGCACCAGTAGTGATAATGAGTTGAGAAGAGAAACAGATCCATATTGATTGCTCTTGTGATGACTAGTCTCGTTGATGTTGCAGAGAGTACAGTAGAAATAAGTCGCCATGAATACGAATGTCGCCATGTTAACGGCGACGTTATTATTATTACCAGCTTAGCATTGCTAACGTCTAAGTCTGACGATGTGATTGATCGATGTCGTCGATTTGTTGTTGCGGTTTATTCTTAAATGGCTGCATAATACCAGTATATCAAGTTAAGAAAACGTTTCATGCTTTTGGGGCCTATACATCATTACAAAAATAGAAATGAACAGACCGGGTGATTGTTGAAATCCAACCTGTTATATGATAACGAAGTGCGGCACTGCTGTTTATGATGCTGAGAAATTTTGTATGATGCATTCATTTTATATTACACTTTTATGGGATGTAAAGGGCATCACTCCCGTGTTATAGGTGATCGGGATAAATTTATGAATTTTTTAATTTAACAATGCGCTTTCTTAGTTCCAAAGTTTCCAGTGCAAATTTTTCTCCCCTGTCCAAGCATAGGGAAGAGGTCCGCCTATATATATGTGAAGTGTCTACGCTAAGTACTCATTACACGTTAGCCCTGTCGTTCTCCACGTTTACAAGACTATTTGAAACATTGATTTTTTGTTTATAGTTTTGTTCGAGTCTATAATGTAACGTTCCACACCATGACGTATGCTGTCACCACATCCCGCACGTAATTGTGCTTAACCACTTCTACGGTCTGGCTACACATCGCTGTCATTAAGATAATAGATCTAGACGGCATTTTTAAGCGCCGAAATGAAGGGACGTTTTTTTTTCTGCAATCGCCGCTCCATGGCTGGTGTTTGCTTCACTCACGTCAAATTTCTTCTGCTCGCTTCGTTTGGGGTCCGACCAACCTGTGATATGTTTGCTGTGGACACAGCTGTTTACTTCAGGACCATGTGTATTGCGATGGCCGTCGGCGAGCGATCCAGGCAGGATTGCAATGAAATTTAGCGCTGAAATCTTCCTTTCGTTGTGCATTCAACTGTTCGCGCAATGATTACTCCTGGCTGGATCTCGCCTGTATTGTAGTCTATCTAGACAGCGTCAGACAGAGCCATGCGAGGTCGTGTCGGAAAGGGCCAACTGTTCGTATCTAAGAATGTTGGCCAGATCGACTCAGCATTACGTGTGGTGAACAGCCACAGCAGCAGCAGCAGCTGGCTTTAGCAGATTGGGTTGACGTGAACGTCATCGTAGCGGCTGCAGCGATGTGGAATGCCATAGAAAGTTTACCTTGGCACCGTCACCGATGTTTGTCACATGTCTATAGGCAAGCGAGATTGTAGTATAATAGAACTTTGGATTTTTTTGGCCGATGGAGAAGACTATCGGTGGTGGAGGCCGATCTGACTTAGCTATTTGGGACGTTTCAACTGTTTGTTATTGAAATATTGCCCAAAATTATGTTTGAACGCAAAACAGTCACCATGAAAATGAGCTCGTAAGCAGTGTTAATAGAAAATAATTACAGTATGAACTAGAGATCGAATTATAGTGTTCTTGTAGAAATTTCACAGTTCTACATGTTTTCTTGATTCTTTTTATTAGACCGGCTTAGACTGGGAGTAATGCGGGCTTAGTACGATCCGATCGTTGATTCCACCAAGAGTCATCAGCAGCGATAAAAATACTTTTTTAGGTTCGTAGTAGGTTTTTAGTCGACGACATCACATGTTTCGCTGGTATTAGTTTTTAATTTTTTGATAGGAAATACACATATTTTGGTCGCTACACTTCAGGCTGATGTCAGCACGGCGACGTTTGCGGCGTTCCAGATGTCTGCGGTGGCCATTTAAATCCATCAATTTAAACCGTATGCTGATACGAAACTGATGATGAGACATCTTCGAGACGGCGTCTATCCGAAACCACTCTATATGGCTGTTTTAATTGAGGCCGAGTGGGCAACTCTGGCCATCTTACCCATAAGCAAGTTGACTGGGAAGCCAATAGCAATCTCCCGCGGCTTGATTTGATTCGGTGGCTATGATTAAAGCCCAGCTGCGATGAGACGGCGTTGTCGAAACAGCATGGCTAGATGAGAGACGTCGATGAGATACGAGGGCGATCACGAGAGCTCGATGTTTGTGTGATATTAGCCAAACAATGGCTAATACATTAACAGCCATTGAACCTTGTCGATAGTGGTTGTCAATTTGTGCCATCTGAACGTATTGTTGTAAGGAAAAAGTAAGATCTGGCTTTGCAATTCTATAAAATGAATCTACAGAAATCCTATAAAAAATCTAGAGTAATTAGTAGTGTTATAGTTCTTTTTTTTTATTACTATAGCGGTAGTATGTTTGTTACCAGGTGTTCGGTATGATGTTATCGGAATAGAAAAAAATTTCAATAAACGCTTTTATTGGCTTACTGGTGTTTTGTTCCAGTCTGATGCTGCCATCAGTTTAAATGATCCGCATCAACTATAGGCACAATACGTGCGCGTTTTCGTCAACCGGACAAAATTGCTTAGTCGTTGAGAGTGAATCTGAATTTTGCTCTACGGTCGACTGTGTGGTTGGCAATTTTTCGTCAGTTCGAGGGCCTGTTGTTAGGCCTGTTTCGCTACCTAGTGTAGGGCAAGCATTAGCGACGACTCACGTATCGATAGTATCCAAAGCCAGCTAAGAGTTAGTGTAATTACGTTTATAATCTAAAAGTTATTAACTTACTCGTAGCGCATTGTTTGTCACAGTTGGCAACTCAAATCGCTAATGCAAGTATTAACGATTGTTGTTGGGCAGAGTAGCCGAACCTAGTCCAC